GAATCTAATGGTTTTAACATGGGTGTATACATCCCAAGTCAAACCATTAGACACCTTTACAAAACCAGTAGAGCCTAATGGTTTTGCAGACCACTAGAGTCCGATAGAAACCAGAAGAATCTAATGGTTTTAACATGGGTGTAAAAATCCCAAGTCAAACCATTAGACACCTTTACAAAACCAGTAGAGCCTAATGGTTTTGCAGACCACTAGAGTCCGATAGAAACCAGAAGAATCTAATGGTTTTAACATGGGTGTAAAAATCCTAAGTCAAACCATTAGACACCTTTACAAAACCAGTAGAGCCTAATGGTTTTGCAGACCACTAGAGTCCGATAGAAACCAGAAGAATCTAATGGTTTTAACATGGGTGTAAAAATCCTAAGTCAAACCATTAGACACCTTTACAAAACCAGTAGAGCCTAATGGTTTTGAAGACCACTAGAATCCGATAGAAACCAGAAGAATATAATGGTTTTAACATGGGTGTAAAAATCCTAAGTCAAACCATTAGAAACCTTAACAAACCAGTAGACTATAATGGTTTGAAGACCAGTAGAAACCAATAAAAACCAGTAAGATTCTAATGGTTTGAACATGGGTGTAAATCTTAAGTCAATTACCATTAGAAACCTTTACAAACCATGCAGATCGAGCCCATGTCAATGGATTTGAAAACCAGTTGAAACAAATAGAAATCAGTAAGATCTAGCGCCGCCTCTGAATCAGTCTGACTATATTTATTTAAAAACCCCAAAACAGGGATGAAAAACTCTAAAATGTCATTAGTCATTATATTAATAGTTTTATTTTACAGATTGTGCAACATCTTGACATTTGCCCTGTAAGGTCTGCAATATTGATCAAGACTATACAAGCCTCAAAACCCCAAAATGCGACTGCCGCCTTTTTTTAAACGGCTACACAGCTGGCATCTCTCTGGGCTACACTAGCACTGTGTGTGTGTGTACATGTAATCAATGCAGTGTGTGCGTGTACCCAGCCAGGCCATGCCTTATGACACACACACAAGACAGCAAGACAGCCATTCCTAGCCTATCCTCAACAGCTACAGGAGCCAGAGCAGAGAGACAAAATCTTTTTATTACTTTGTTTTCCCCTGCTATTCTTCAATATGGGTAAGTCTTAGATTTACCTAATTTATTTGCAATATGTGCAGTAACTGTTTTCTGTTTTGAAACGTAGTAATTAATGTATGATCGTGTCTACTAGGAGTGCTTTCAACGCCTGCCGCAAAGATGAGAAATGTATTGTATTGTCCCATCCATGTATTTTTATGTTAGATTTTGATGCAAGTTTGTGCATAGTCCCACTCGTAGAGAAATGAGTTTGTTGTCGAATGACGGAACATCGACGAGCGGAACTGGCCCCAGAAAACAGCTGAAAAGGTACGTTTATTTCTGAAACTTAATTATATTATGATATATATATTTTTATTGTGTCTGTTGTTGAATATAATGCTACTTCATAGACATAGTAGGCCTATAGAATGTTATGTTACGAATCAATATTCCCATGTAGTGTTGAGGTTGTAACTTAGACTACAAAACTTCTGAGTGAAGTGTACGTCTAGTGAATCTCCAAGTGCAGTGTAGGCCTAGTGTCTGTTAGTAAATGAGTGAATGTAAACAAACGTGATTACAATAAATACACGTAGAAATTTCAGATTTTGTACCATTACTACGTCTGTCAATTATATTGCCTTGCATGATAAAATGTTTTGATGTGGTTTTAGGCTAAATTGTATCTCAAATTATTTGTCTAGGAATCAGAAAACACAACCTGCTAAAGCACCACGCAAGAAGAAGAGCAAGTCTTCCAAGTCCGAGAGTGCATGTGTCTGCGAGGTATGTCCTTACTAAGTAGAAATCTAAATCTTTTGTTGATAATTTTTTGGGGTTTATTTATTCATGTTTGTTAGTTAAGATCTGACATCAAAATATTAGAGTAGTTTACCTCATCATTATGCTAGAACAATAATTTGCAGGTGGCACAATTTCTACCTAGATCTACATTATTTTTCTCTTTCCTTTTTATTTTTTTCTTCAACAAATTGTTCCTTTACTATTTTCTTTTCTGTGTTTTATGTTTTATTTTATGTATGTTCACCCAATATATCTAAGAATAAAATAACTCTAATTAATTGCCTACCTGAGTGGTTTACATTTCATGCACCTTGACAGCTCTTTGACGACTCCGTTGTTTCACCATCCGTTCGTCGTCAGCCTGGCATCTTTTTTGCTATCATACTTTTGTACACACATGTTCTGTGCCTTTGAATTTTTCATTATGAAATACATAAATACTTGTACTAAGTATTAATTGCATGTTCATAAATGTACCAAGAATGCATGATTATTCTTACCCCTAACTCACATTTCATTTATATCTTTACAGATCCATTGAAACTAATCAAGCTACAATGTACATGTAACGTACAACCACCATTTGATGCCTGTGAACGGCATGACCAACATCTGTATCCTTTACATTAGTATTTGTTTCCTTTTTATTATGTAATTCTTATGTCTAATCATTGAGATTCATAGGCAAGTACAACATGTATGTGTACACAATGAGTGCCTGCATATTGTGAAGATAAAGGACCATAAGACCATTACTTATGATACATGGTAATGATGGTAGGCCTATACTTTGTAAAACTATTTGAAAATAGTAGCATGTAAGTCTGTCATTTTCTTGTTTATATATATCTCAATGACATGACATGTCATTGATTTTGTAGTAAGTGTTTCTAGATTATGATGATTGTATTAAGATTTTGACAGTTCAATTGAGATTGAGAAAATTATGTAACATGTCAACTGTACTATAGAGCATGCATGCATTGTTGAAAAATCTGTTTTATGATTTATTTTATTTTGTTATCTTTGTAAATAACGAGAAAAAAAAATTATTTGTCATGATTTTCTTGAGGTTTGAAAATGTGATTACATTATTAAGAGCACTTTGCAATTAAATTGTAATAAAAGAGACAGGAAACAACACTCTCATGTCCAGAATACTGCTTTATTTGGTTACTAGTGAGGGAGAGAGCTTGTGATCGCCTGGCATATCCACATCGGCTCAGTAATAGTCCTGAAACTCACCTGAATACTTTATTTGAACAAAAATAGAAAGCTACATTCTAGATGGATGATATTTTTTTAAGGCGGAGGCATATAGGAGACGCAGTCACATTTGTCTTGTTTTTTTTTTTAGAGTATAATCATAGCAAACCATGAACAACTCTATTACTACAACATGTACACTACAGTACTTAACCAAAGATTGTAAATATCAGTTAAGTTCTTTTATTTATTTGCTTATATGAACACACATACTATACTAAACTCATGTCATTGTGTTTACCTCTCGAAAATAAAGTACATGTATTTTATTTGACACATTCCCTTTTATTATTTTTGTTTGTTACAGTCCACTGCCATTATAACGAGGTGCTCGGGACCAAGCCAATTTCCTTGTTAAAATGAAATCATGTTATACTCAAGTTACTGAACACATTGGTTTGTTTAAAATTGGGACTGATGAGAATTGCCTGATAATAAAATCTTGGTGTATCCATGTTCGTTATAATAGGAGTGGACTGTATAACATTTTCCATATACCCATTGACTATTTTAAATGTTCTACTGAATGGATTGGACTGAAAGGATGAAGTGAATTTGGCAAACTGAGTAGGTGCATCGATGCAGAGAAAAGAGCTGTAGGAGTAGGGTGACTATTCTACAGTGGAAACTTTTGACAATGAGGTCATGTGCAACCAAGAAATCTTAACCCCCAAAAGCTGTTAAATTACCTTGTCATTTCACTATTTCAGGTATAACTGATCTCTTTATATCAAGTTTGCACTGTATGATTTAATTGAATGTACAGAGTCGTTGACTGGATGTGTGAGATGGTAGTGCTTGAGAAATCCATGAAAGTAAAGGATGAGTGATCCCCCCCCCCCTATTTCCTGACTATTTTTTTTCTGATTTCCTCACTTATTTACTATTTTTTTCATATTTCCTTACTATTTTTTTCCTATTTTCTTACTATTTTCCCCTATTTTCTTACTATTTTTTTCCTATTTTCTTACTATTTTTTTCCTATTTCCTTACTATTTTTTTTCCTATTTTCTTACTATTTTCCCCTATTTTCTTACTATTTTTTTCTATTTTCTTACTATTTTTTTCCTATTTTCTTACTATTTTCCCCTATTTTCTTACTATTTTTTTTCCTATTTTCTTACTATTTTTTTTCCTATTTCCTTACTATTTTTTTCCTATTTTCCCCTATTTTCTTACTATTTTTTTCCTATTTTCTTACTATTTTTTTCCTATTTCCTCACTATTTTTTTCCTATTTCCTCACTATTTTTCACTGTCCACTAGCACCTAGTTATCACTATTTTTTTACTATTTTCTTCACCATTTTCTACACTATTTTTTCCCTATTTTTTTCCTATTTTCAGGTCTGAAAAATAGGGAAAAAATAGGAAAAAAATAGAAAAAATTGTTTCAAACCTATTTTTTTTCCTATTTCTAAAACTATTTTTTCCCTATTTTTTCCTTTAAAAAAAATAGGGAAAAAATAGAAAAAAAATATATTTTCGGGACTATTTTCCCCCTATTTTCCCCCTATTTTTTTCCTATTTTTTTACGACTGGGGTTTACCTCCCCGCGGCGCGGCCGCCCCCGCTCCAGTACGTACGGTACTTATTCAAGGTATATACGCACACTGCTGGTACGATAATACACGTTACACCAAAATCAAATGTAAAGTAACTATTTTGTTAGACCGAAAGCTTCAGTCTCTATAATCGTCGGTTGTTCCACTGAGACTGAGACAGCCGTAGTCTCAGTGGAACAACCAACGATTATAGAGACTGAAGCTTTCGGTCTACTATTTTGTTAGTCATTCTCCCAAAGAGTCCTAAACGTATTTGCTTGAATACACGCAAAACGAAACACTCACCGTCAACGCCAATGTCACAACATGTCGGCATGTATCATTACTTAGCAATGGTACATGTTTAAACTGATTATAATGCCGAAAAACAGTCAATTTGCTGTAATATGTAAGATCGCTGCACTCGATCAACTCGTGGTGCAGGTGTTCCTCGCGATAGCATACATACATGTACTGTACGTCTGCGGCTATGCGCTACAAACAAAAATGGAAGGTTTGCCGCTAGCTGCACTTGGACTTTGAACCTCCAAGTCCAAGAGCAAGCGGGAAACCTATCCATTGTTGAGATTGTTTGAACGATATTATTTACGTGTATATAGACGTTAGTTCAATCTTTGTAAACCTATCCTTACAACAATTTTCATATAAACATATATCTCTCGTGCACTTGAGTTGCCTTAGCCTGATCAACAGAGAGTGAGTGAGTGAGAGAAAGAGAGAGAGAGAGAGAGAGAGAGAGTGAGAGAGAGAGAGGGGGCGAAAGAGAGGGGAGAAAGGAGGGAAGAGGTTTGTAAGTTATCAATTACCTAGAGTACAGTTCGTATGACAAAAGTATTCGCAACTCGGATTGATTCCCTTTTACAGATAAAAACCTGTCATTAGAAAAAGTAATTCGTGCAGTAACCCCCCAATAACTAATATTCCGTGTAATGAAACCTTACTCATATAACGCTGCTGCCATGCATGGATGGATGACTGGGCGCGCAGCAGCCTTTTCAAAAAGTATTGTCAATATCCCCTTGTACGGTTGTACCAATACATGTGAGCTGCAAGGGCGTCAATCCGATCTTGAGCAGGGGGGGGGGGGGGACACAATACACAGTGGCGTAATGAGCAAAAATGTTTTTTTCTTGTTGTTTTGTTTGGGGGGCTGACAAAAAAATCCGCATCACCCCCACACTAACATGCAGGCCCCGCTGAACGATTTTCAAAGTGGGGTCACTGGGGCAAAGCCCCGGCGGGGGTCAAGCCCCCGACCCTCAATCGGGGTATGGGCATCAGTGGCGGATCCAGGAATTTCTTACCGGGGGGCACAAAACGGCATGGAGGTGAAATATCTGAGGTGAAATATCTGTAAACTGATGAAGCGACAGAGCGAGATTTTAGCGGCGAGGAAGCGGAGCGACCAAGCGGGGGTGGGTCTGGAAGAGGGTTTTGAAGGAAGCATTTGCAATTTTAGATCCGCATTGGACGCATTTAAAGGCACTTCCTGGAGTAATATGACGTAAAAATGCTTTCTCCTAACCCTTCCAAGAGTAGGAGTCTTCAATATGAGGCCCACATTTGGCGCATTAATCTCCACCGGCACCTCCTGGAAAAAAAATGAGGTCTTCTGATTGGTTAGAAGTTAGAGAAAAGTGATCTGTCACGTCGTGAGACGTTGTATAATTATGCTTCGTTGCCGCACAAAGACGGTGGTCCGGTACTTCACCAGTAGTACTTGCAAAAAATATCTCGAGTGTATAAACTGTGTTGTTATCAGGGGCGTCGCTAGATCTTTTTCAGTGGGGGAGGCGTGAGGGTGTAGAGGCCACCGATTACCGACAAAATAATCGACATAATTATGTTAATGCCAATCTCCCAATGTCTACAAATTTAACCCTATAAACCCGGGGCCGGGAACAAAGTTATTTTTCAGTTTTTCCCCTCCCGCGCGAAGCGCGGAAGCTTTGACACTTCATTAAATTATCAGAAAAAAAAGACGATCCGTTGTACCGTTCTCGACTTATAATTCTTGTTTCGGCTCTCCCGTGCGAAGCGCAAAAGTTAGGACGTTTCATTTAATTATAAGAGAAAGAAGACGATGCATTATACCGTTCTCGACTCTTAATCCTTGTCTGAATTCACTCACCCCCCTCCCGCGCGGAAGCTTTGACGTTTCAATAATAAAAAGCATTTAATCATTTGAGAAATAAGACGATTCGTTGTACCGTACGTTCTTGACTCTCCTTGTCTGAATGCAGCCCCCCCCCCCCCCCTCGTGCGTAGAATGAAGACAATTCGTTACGTTGTCGACTCTAAATCTTTGTCTAAATTCAGTTTCCCTCCGGCCGCGCGAATCGCGGAAGCTTTGACGTTTCATTACATTATTAAAGAACGAAGACGATTTGTTTTACCGTTCTCGACTCTAAATCTTTGTCTAAATTCAGTTTCCCTCCTGCTGCGCCAAGCGCGGAAGCTTTGACGTTTCATTACATTATTAAAAAACGAAGACGATTTGTTTTTACCGTTCTCGACTCCTAATCTTTGTCTAAATTCAGTTTCCCTCCTTCAGCGAGAAGCGCGGAAACTTTGACATTACTTTGACATTACTTTATTGGAGAAAGAAGACGTTCGTTGTACCGTTCTCGACTCTCCTTGTCTGACATAGCGCAGAAGCTTTGACGTTTCATTAAAATATTAAAGAACGACGTTTTCGACTCCTAATCATTGTCTAAATTCAGTTTCCCCCCCCCCCCCCTCCCGCGCGAAGCGCGGAAGCTTTGACGTTTCATTAAATAATTAAAGAACGAAGACGATTCGTATACCGTTCTCGACTCTTAATCCTTGTCTGAATTCAGTCCCCCCCCCCTCTCGCGCGAAGAAAAACCACAAATTTTAACCACAAATCGTGGGGGGACATTCACCACCTGAAAATTCGTGGGGGGACGTGTCCCCCCCCCCCCCCCCCCCCCCCAGGATTGACGCCCATGGTGAGCTGCATCATTCAATATGAGTGAAAAGCTTTTACGAATTGTTATTTCAGACCGAAAACTTGTTTATATTAATTTGCACAATTGCGTAGAAAAGTGAAGATGTTAAAGGTAATACGAAGTTTTGGTATAGGCCCATCATGAATTTGGTTTAAATGAACGTGTTAAAAGCATATGCAATTTTACAATATTCAATGATCGTTGTCGCGGTTGAAATCGAGTCTAAAGTGATGAAATTGTAAATTATAAACTTTTATGTGTTATAGTTCCCTCCGCCAGACTAGTTTACTTTAGCTTTAAAACAATGTTTCTTGATGACTACCATCGACCGACTTGCTATTCTCGTTTGAAAATTAAATATCAGAATTGCATATTCTAAGATTTTCATGGTCGCAGCTATCATTGAATTGCCTTATAGACGCTATTTGAAAATTTACCGGGAGGACCGGTAAATTTTGATAATTCAATTTCTCGTAAGCAGAAGTGTTTTAGGGGCTAAATTTTCTAGTGCTTATAATACTAAGCATAACACACTAAAATTTCATATTAATATGAGGTGCTCAAAATTGGTGTCATTTGAAAGATCTCTTCAAAAGATAAAAGATATAAACAAAAATCATGTCAATTGGATTTTCGGTTCTCAAGATATTGACTTTTGAAGTTGCAAAAGTTACGTCGAAAACCCGGTGCCACGAAATGCCATTTTGGGCCCAAATGAATATTTCACCAACTTTGAACGCCCCTAAAACTGATATAAATAGTCATAAGCAGTGGCGTAATGAGCAAACACGTTTGGGAGGGCTGACAAAAAAAATCCACATCACCCCAGGCCCCGCTGAACGTTTTTCAAAGTGGGGTCTAGCCTAGGGGCAATTCCCCGGCTTCGGAGCCCTCGAAGCTCAAGGGGTATGGACATTAGTGGCGTATCCAGGAAGTTCTTACGGGGGAGGGCAAAATTTGGCATGGGGGTGAAATACATGTAAAACGATGAAGCGACAGAGCGAGGCTTTAGCGGCGAGGAAGCGGAACGACCAAGCGGGGGTGGGTCTGGGAAGCAGGAAGCATTTGCAATTTTAGAAACACATTAGACGCATTTTCAGGCACTTCCTGGAGTAATATGACGTAATATTGCTTTCTCCTACCCCCTCCAAGAGTAGGGATCTTTTGCAATTTGAGAACCACATTTGGCGCATTAACGTCCACCCTGGATTAAAAACGAGGCCTTCTGATTGGTTAGAAGTTAGTGAAAATTGATCTGTCACGTCGTGAGACGGTATTATGCTTCGTTGCTGCACAATGCGCAAAGACGGTGGTCCGGTACAAAAGTGATCTCAAGTGTATAGTGACGGTGTTGTCATGAGGAGCGTCGCTAGATCTTTTTCAGTGGGGGAGGGGGGAGGGTGTAGAGGCCACCGATCACCTATAGGTACAAAACGAGCCACCAATTACCAACAAATATTAAAGCCAATGTCCCTATGTCTACAAATTTAACTCTGTAATCCCCGGGCCAGGAACTAAGTTATTTTTCAGTTTCCCCCCTCCCGCGCGCGGAAGCTTTGATACTTCATTAGAGAAAGAACACGATCCGTTGTACCGTTCTCGACTCTTAGTTCTTGTTACGCCCCTCCCGCGCTCTTCGCGATTTTGTTTATGACCGGGGGGGGGGGGGGGGTTAACGAAATGCGAGGGACAGAGATCGAGCAGTGGTATAATGAGCAAATACTTTTTTTTGGGGGGGGGGCAGAAACAAATCTGCATCGCCAACACTGTCATGTTACATGCAGGCCTCCTAGAACTTTGCATGGGGTCCAGGGGCAAAGCCTCGGCCGGCGGGAGACAAGGGGCAGAGCCCCATGATGCTCAGGGGTTTAATGGATTTAATTATGGTCAGACCAGCATTGAGGGGCGCCGGCCCACCTTAGGGCCCCTGATTGAGTCTAGAGGGCAGAGCCCTGGAAGCTCAGGGTAAAATTATACCAATTCAGCAAAATTTGTAAATTACTGGTATCGAAGAAGAAATAAACCACCTTTTTAGGGGGCAACTGCCAAGCCCCCACCCACCCACCATCAGTACGCCAGTGAAAGAGAGGGTTTAGGTGACGAAAGTGACTACCCCCCACAGGTTTTTGAAGTTTCATATTTCTACTATATTTACTTGTACATTTTGAAAGATATTACGCTACAGAGCGAGAAGTTTTGTGCATTTTTATTAGTCTAAACGCTGCACACTTGAGCCTTCTAGAGCCTAAAAGTGTGTTTCAGTCTTTAGTCAGTATCTGCTATACATTTTAATGGGCACTTTTCAAATTTTCCGGGGGGAGGGGGGGGGGGACGATCCCCCATAAACAAAATTGAGGGGAGGGATATGTCCCCCCCCCCCCCGGTTCAGGGGCAGTTCAAGGATTCTATAATGAAAGGGGGCACACAGTTATGATATCAGAAATAAAAATAGTAGAAAGGGGGAAGATTTTCAA